TAAGGCTGTCTCCATTTTTAGAGGAAGTTGTTCAGTAGCCCCAGTGTTGTTTGAGACTGGTCTAAAAGTATAAATGACAGATTCTTCTAACCCAGGCTTCAGACTGCAATTATACACTCCAGCATACAAGAATTTGCAGTTTGGAAAACCACTGCAGTCTTATCATACTCTAGTTTTCCAGTCCATTCCCTCCATGAGTTTGACTCTAACTTAGAATAGGAAAATCTAAAGTCTTTAAATGATCCTTGTCCTAAGAAATTCTATATACAACTCAGGGAAAATAATTCTCTAGAACCTAGACAATACTTAGGTATTTCTTATGTAGAATACTGTAGTTGACTTTGTGCACACACACACACATACACAAACCTAAGACTTCTCTTTCTAGATGAGAAGAGTTTGTTCCAGAATTGCCTTTCAGTTTAGAGGCAGGATGTCCCTGCATGCATGGTCATAAATAGAAAGAGAAAATGAATATAACTGGCATTGTGCTGCTTTTTGGTGACCTCAACACACCCTATGAAAATGACATCCATATACCAGCAGTGTCTGCTCAGGGATAACTTTCAGGAGGCAAAATGTAGCTTTACAAATCAATCTAAATCTTTAATGCACCACTCTCCCCTTCAATCCATGTTAAAGACATTTAATGAATGTAATCTGAATTTATCAATGTTCTCTTTTAGTAATCTAAAGATTTAGATATTGAACTGTAACAAAATGACAAATGGTAGAGTTTTTCATTTTTTCCCTACTCAAAGTTAATTGATACTGCTAAACATTCTTTATGCATATTAATTAATATCCTCTAAGAAAGACAGTGCATATAAACTAGAGCAACAGAACAATTGTGGATAGGGACAGAAGTTTAGGCACAGTTGACTGAGCAGTAGATATCAGGACTGTATATCCCTCATGCTTCTTTTTGATACAGGTGGGAAGGATCTTAGCATGGTCTACTCTGAATAGTTAGTGCCAATTCAGGCCATTAGCTGGTGACAGTTCTTCATTCAAAATGCTTGCTAATCTTCCCACTTGCATTATCCTCTCTTTTCATTTTGGCAAGTAATGTGCAATTCTTTCCATACACATTATTTTTAGCTGAACAGAGGTTGCCTGGAGCTAATGAGCTGTGGACATCAGCAGAACTGGGACCTGATATGATCCCTTAGTCAACATAATGAAATAAGTTTTTTCTTTTATTAAAAAGAAATGCTTTTATTCATTAAGAAAAAGATTAATTTCTTCCTGGTATGTCTTTCTTATATTAACATTATTTTTGCTAACGAACTAAAAACATTTGTTGAACTGAAAGTAAAAGAAAGAGAGACTGAATATGAAGAATCTGACACTGTGCATATATATGGGAGGGGGATAGGTGAGATTGCATGTGTGTTGTACATGTGGGTGTGCAAGGTGCACACACAAGTGTGTGTGTAGGAAAGAGGGTAGGTTAAAACCAGGCTATAATTAGAGCTCCTGTTCTTTTTTGTGATATAAAACAGTGAAGACAGATAGTTTTCTTTTCCCATTTTAACAATCAATATTATTTGAAGAACATGTACATTATATTATACATATAATATAATGTATATTATAATGCTGAAGTACTGCAATCATTAAAATAATATATGAAACAACAAGTAGGATAAACATTATGGGTAAAGCTCAAACATTAGTTTAGATCCAGCTTCTACCATCAATTTCCTGTGGAACACTGGACCGATCATTTTACCCTTCTGACCCTCAGCTCTGTATTTGTATAAGGGAAGTAATGGTAACAACAGCTATTTCTTGGTATATTTATGAGATTAAATGTGATAATGTATAGAAGGCACATAGCATATTTTCAGAACATTGTAAGGTCTCAATGAATGTTAGACTAATTTTTTTGTGTGAGGTTAGGCAAATTCATTATATTTCTTCTTCATTTCATTTGCATGATTTGCCTACTTCTCTGGTGCTGAAAAAGCACCTTTACCTCCCCTTTCATGGACTTCTCCAGGGTATGTTTTCTCCTTGCAAATTTTCCAGAGAAGCTTCACTTGAACATCAGGAAGATCATCAATATTAATAGAGTTTTCCACAAAACTTTTTTAAAATTTATTTTTTAAATTCATTTTCCTGAATATTACCTGTACTTACAGTCAGAGCTAACTTACACATTAGGTATAGCAGGCTCAGTAAATATAGCAGGCTCCTTTCTTTTAAAATCAGAAGAAAAATATAAACTTTTAGGTGAAAACTGTTTCAGTATATAATATGAACATATTCATCTTTAAACCAATGCAGTTGTAAACTAACATTCAAATAAGATTTTTTAAATTATTGATAAAGGTGTTTAAGAAGGAAAAACTGCCAAAGGCCTATGAAAGTCATAATGCAGCCCTGCCTAAAATGTCCAAGTGATAGAATTTTCCCAAGGAGACATAGTGAGTCAGTTGAAAAAGCAAATAGTAGAGTTTTGTTTGTTATTTTTCTGTTTGATTGTTGGTGGGGGCATGAGGACATGATGGTGGCTAGGGGGTGTGGTGCACTTGTCTTGTTAGAGTGGACTAAGCGTGTTTTTCTCAGACTGACAGTGACATACACTGTAACACTGGCACATGGAAGGACACAGCAGAAAGAAATACAGGTGAATAGGCCAGAGTGAACAATTCAGATAATAGGGAAAGGGTACTAAAGACAGAAATAATTTTTATTGTTCTTCAAATATGAGGAGCAGTGCCTCACTTAATATCATGCAAATAATTTTTAAAGCCCACTGGAGAGCTGAAATATAAAGTCATAGAAATATGTGCTGCTATAGATATTACAATGACCCCTTTGCTCAAGAGGAATTAAGCTATATTTAAAACATGCTGACATGTTAGTGCAAAGTTTCAACAAAAGGAATCTGAACTTGTTGTTAAGGCAAGCTCTGAGCTTAATCCTTTAGTGTAGCTATTTGAACTCCATATCTGATGTCTTATAAGATAATTTTGGACATATCAGGACATGTTATACTTAACCAGGAGTAAGGCAGAGTTTTTCCTCTCTTGATGCTTGGTTTTCTGGTATTGTACAAAATTATACCTACAAATTGCTTTCATTAATAGTTTGGAGTTATATTACAAGTTGTGAAATGCTAGAAATTTCCAAAATAAATATATAAAACACAATTTCTCAAGAGCAAAGATTTCAAAATCACTGATTTTTACTACATGCTAAAAATGCATATTTTAATGATAGTCTATAGCATGAATCATCAATCTTGAGAATACTATTTTGAATATATTATATCACCCACAGTTCAATGAATCTTATAGCCTGCTATAAAAATTTAAACACCCACAGTGTAGATGACACTGTGTTAGGCACCAGAAATTTTGATCAGCCCTGCCAACTACAGTATAGATAAAAGAGCTAACATTAACTCAAAAAGGTCATTTCAAGTCTCTTAACCTCAGTTTCCTTATCTGTGTATTCAAGGTAGTAATTCCTAAATTATACATTTATAGTTAGGCTGAAGTCAGACAATGCCTATACAAGTATTCTGGAAACTGCAAGGAGTTATGAAAATATAAGATATGGTTATTACTATACTTTGGGCTCAGTTTTGATAACATGACAATTAATTGTGATTATTTCATGAGCAGTATGGAATGTGAGGCTAATTGGTGGGCCTAAATTACCTACATGCATAATTTGATTTAGTTCTATGGCAATGTCCCGGGCTATGATATTTCTCATAGGACTACTGAAAGCAAACACATTTAGCTAGCAACAAACTCAGTTGCCCTTTGCTGCCTACTTAGGCATTCTGCAAAATGATTTGTTTTGCTCTTGGCAAAAGTGTTAGTTTACAGTCTCCACTGAAAATTAATTGTCAATGAAAATAATAAATGTGCAATGATAACAAATTTATTCAGAATATTTGGCTTCAGTAGTTAATTCAAGCATATTCAATTTGAATGTTTTCCTTTGAAGCCATGATTATAAGATTTTTATACCTAAAGCACATCCTTAAAGTTAATAAACAGATGTCTAATTTTGCAGTACTAGGACCTAAATTATTTATGCAGATTAACTTTATGAATTTTTGACTGACAAAGGCATAACTAAGTAGATAACTTTGGAAACCTCTTTCAAGCTCCAAGTTTTACCTTTCTGTCTTTACCTCCAAGTTTTTTACTTTCTGTCTTTTCACTAACATTTGCAAGTAGCTAATATATGCCAAGTACCACTATGTATATCATCTCATATAATCTTCATAAAGATTCCATTTAAGAAACTAAAGAAACCAATGCATTCAATAAAAAATGAAGGAAACTAAACTTTATAGAACACAACAATCCATCCAAGATGACAAAGCTGTAAGTGATGGCAACTCTTTCACCAACTCCAAGACCAACATTCTTTTAAAAACAAGACTATCACCCAAATCTACACTCTAGGCGAGGAGTGTACTCGTATTCGTTCTGTCTTTCTAATCAATACTTGATTGCAGGAAAGAATTGACAAACTGATTCAAGATAGGACAGTAACACATAAATGACTCAGAAGGCCTAAATTCTTACCTAACATATGGCGATGTGTATTTTACCGCCAGTAAAAGGCTATTTGGAACCTATGTTAAATGCTTGAAACTCTTTCTGAAATTTCAGACATTGGGATACAAGTAGGTTAAAGAACTAATTAATACTCTGAAATCATATTACATAAGTAATCTTCCCCAATTAAACAAGCAGCACCTGTAACTGTAATTGTTACAGAAGGATAGATTCTTTCCTGCACTCATACAAAGCTTGTATTTAGATTTGTAACTCCTTCTAATGGCCTTTGTTCATATAAAGTCACCTGCAAGAAGATTGCTGTTCAAGTCATGTAGAATATTTCCCCTGCTCCTCCTCCAAAAATCAAAGAATGATGATGTATTACATATGTATTTAAAACACATGACTACAACCAAAAGCAAGGTAAACATCTCTAAAGACCAAAAGAAGAATAAAAACTCTAACCGTACATGTGGCTTCATTCACAGGCCTTTTGAATTCCAGGACAAGGAATAAGTGGACGTGCCCTTGTATTCATCTCCTAAGGAAAAAAAAAATGGGGAGAAGAACAGAGCCAGGATCTGTGTATGAAATAGGACACCAGGCCAGGGCACTTACAGTTCCAGGCAAATATCAAGTTGTTGCCTAGAGGGCTGGGAGAAAGCACAAATAGTTGCTCCACCAAAGCTGGGCCAAGCCTCAACTAGCTGAGGAGTATCTCCATATTATCCTTGCATTGTGTAAGGTCTGGTTGACAATAAAAGAGCAAGGCTGGCAAAGACAACAGTAAAACAGCCACACATAGAAAGGTGAGAAAGGAGGGATTAAACAAAATAAACAGAAACAAGGAAAGACCCACTGAAGAAAGCACACTAAAATTCCAGAGCATACAAAGAGAACAAAACCAATCATGAAAGGCAGTCATCACACAGATGTTTATCCGGGAACAGAATTATATTTGAGTAATTTGAAAATGACTTAATATGTATATTTAAAATCTTAAAATACACAAAAGAAGGAAAGAAGAAATGATTATAATACTAAAAGGATTATTAAATAAAAAGTATGTGTCCATAAAAAAGTACTGAAGAGAAATCCTAGAGAGAAAAATGTAGCCCTTAAAATTATACAACAATAACCAAAAAAAAAAAACCTCAGTAAACTGGTTGAACATCAGGTTGGAAGAATTGAAGAGAATATTAATGAATTAGAAAGAATATTGAGGGTTTGGAGTAGAAGATATAAAAGGAAAGATAAAGGAAGGGAGACTATGGTAGTAAAGTTATAATAGATTTGCAGAATGGTCTGCCTTAAATTTCTTTTCCCATTAAATATTCAGAAGAAGTGAAAATGTCAATATTTAATATCCAGACTGAAGGGCTGAATCCCTATTTAGAAAATATAGATACAAAGCTAAGCAAGATAAAGGTATACAATTCTGTACCTTGACAAACACAATACAACTGTGAAATGTCAAAAATAAAGAGAAAATCTTAAAACTTTCCTGGCAGAAGAGCAAATTATCTGATAATTAGAATGAGAAGCAATAGAGGTCAGAAGAGTGATCACTTCAAAGTGCTGGGGAAAAGACATCAAATTACAGTTATGCACAACCTAAACTCGCATCCAAAAGCAAGAATGCTAGGAAAACACAGGGATGCAGTCTCAGTTGCTCCCCCTCCAGCAGGACTCCTGGTCCACACTTCTGCCTCTTCACTGGTGCCCTAGCCGAGCTCCCTAATCTTGCTGGAGCCCCAACTGAACTCCAGGGCTTGCACACGCTAGACTGTGACCTAGTAATGCCTACTACCTTCATATCCGAACGGGGATGGATTGCCACTCTGTTTGATAATACACCCTGGCTGTGGGTTCCACTCCTCATTCTATGAACCTTGACCAATGGGAAATGGGGGATGAGAGAGCGTAGGGCACATACATCTTTCTTCACCTCCTCTTTCATGGACTTTTCCAGGGTATGTTTTCTCCTTGCAAATTTTCCAGAGAAGCCTCACATAATGAGTGAAAACACTAGTGAATGATCTACCCTGTCTCTTTATAAAGTGTGGTGCTGAGCGGCACTGCGCCTTGGGCGCACAGTGAGGGTGGTGTGTGCGGGGCATGCAGGGTTCGCGGGGTGGGGGGAAGGGCGCGGCTGCCAGCCTGGCACTAATGTCTCCCTGTGTGTCTTCCTCACTCTGTCCTCTCCCCTGTGTGCGCCGGGCCCACCGACTCCCACAACCCTGAAAGAAGGACTGGAACAAAGGCCTTGACTTCCCCTCGGAGGAGGACTGCAGACTTAAAACAATAAATGTAGATCTTCAAAGTGATGCTGCGCTGCAAGTGGGCGTTTCTGATGCCATTAGTGAGAGAGAGAAAGTAAACTTCACTGTACACACAAAGAGTTCATTGCCAAATTTTAAATAAAATGAGTTTTCTGTTGTTCAGCAACATGAGGAGTTTTTCTGGCTTCATGATTCCTTTGTTGAAAATGAAGACTATGACGGTTACATTATCCCTCCAGCACCACTAAGACCTGATTTTGATGCTTCAAGGGAAAAACTGCAGAAGCTTGGAGAAGGGTCCATGACGAAGGAGGAATTCACAAAGATGAAACAGGCACTGGAAGCTGAATATTTGGCAATATTCAATAAGACTGTAGCAATGCATGAAGTATCCTGTGCCATGTGGCAACACATCCTATTTTGAGAAAAGATTTAAGTTTCCATGTCTTTTTGGAATGCAGTCAAGATTTGAGTGTGCATGGAAAAAATAAGAGAAACTTGAAGGTTTCTTTAAAAACATGGTTAAGCCCTGGCTGGCATAGGTCAGTGGATTGAGCTCGGGCTGCAAACCAGGCATCACAGGTTCGATTCCCAGTCAGGGCACATGCCTAGGTTGCAGGCTATGGCCCCTAGCAACCACACATTGATGTTTCTCTCCCTCCCCCCACCCTCTCTCTCTCCTTCCATTCCCTCTCTAAAAATAAATAAATAAAATCTTTAAAAAACATTTTAAAAAATAAAAACATGGTTAAATCAGTGGATGGAGTAATTGTTTCAGGAGTAAAGGATGTAGGTGATTTCCTTGAGCATGAACGAGCATTCCTTTTAGAGTGTCAAAGCTGAGTTAAGGATTCATCTGCTAAATCTGATAGGAAGACAAGATCCCACAAAAGTGCTGCAAATGATAACAATAGAGTAGGTTCTTCATATATGCTTTAGGAACTCAAGATTGTACAGATATTTGCAAGTTTTTTTCTCAAAGTTTCAGAACTGTTTGATAAAACAAGAACAAGAGAAGAAAGCATGTCTGCTGTTGAAGACCTCAAACTTTCTGATCTTTTAAAATATTGGTTAAGAGAACCTTAAGCTGCTAAGTATCTCCTCTACAGAAGATCTAGGTCACTAATGGAGTACAAAAATGCTAATAAACCATAGGATAAAGTAAGAGCAAAAAATAAAGATGTTCTCCAGGCTGAAATGTCCCAACAATTACACTGTCAGAAATTTGAAAAAATATCAGAATCTGTGAAACAAAAACTCATAGATTTTAAGAGAAGAAGAGCTGTGGCATTGAGAAAAAAATAATGGTACTCACAGAGTTAAAGTGGAAGCATGCAAAGGGTAACCTACCATTGCTGCAGAACTGCCTGGCAGTGTTGAATGGAGAGGGAAACACATAAGCCACACTCCACCTTCTGTTTGAAAAGGGCTGCCTTCCTTCAGGTTTAATTTCTGTTTTCTTAATGATGTTAGGCATTTACTCTGCACTAGAAGCAAAAGATGGAGACAAAGTGCATCTCCTCTCCCTCTTTCTGGGAAACAGTGGAGCATTGCTGTCCCCATGTGCTGCTGGCCTGTGGTCAGCACAGCACTCCCGCACCTGCTTGCTCCCCCGGGCAGTTGTCGCTCATGAGCACTTCCTTTTACAAAAGCCCAAAGTTCAGTCTTTTTTTAAGGAACCTCTACAACTCTGTTTATTTTGTAAATAGTATCCCTTATGGCTGCCCATCTTTTACCTTTAAGAGATTTCTGAAGTTTGAAATATAGTCTTCAAAATATATTCTTCAAACAAGAAAAAGATTGCCATTTCCTTTTGTTCATTCATGTATCCTGGTAAAGCATCTTAATCAGACTTATTTTTAATTAATGAATATTTCTTAGAAGTTTTGGGACAGACATTTTTTTCTATAAGGCAAAGGAAACAAGTCTTTTTTTAAGGTTTTATTTATTTATTTTTAGAGAGGGAATGGAAGGAGAGAGAGAGAGAGAGAGAGAGAGAGAGAGAAACATCAATATGCAGTTGCTGGGGGTCATGGCCTGCAACCCAGGCATGTACCCTGACTGGGAATTGAACCTGCGACAGTAGGGACAGACTTTTTTATGTAACCTTTCCAAATATGATTTCTGAAGACAAGCAAATTCATAAGTATGTTTGCATTAAACTTGTAGACTAAACCAACTATTGTCAAATAGTAACAACAGTAAAATAAAAAGTGTACTGCATAGTACTATTTCTTATTACATCATTTGCATCTTTCTTTCCTCATCTCTTAATTTCTTCATCTTCACCTCCTTGAATTTTACCTACTAATAAAGCATAAGTACATTAATCCCTTCTCAGGCTTTATTTTCTGAAAGCCTGGAACAAAGACAAATAGTTAATACCTGTGAATATATTCTGTGGAGACAAGAGGGAAATCAACATGAAACTTCCAAGGTAAAATAAGATACTGTATTCTATTCCAGTGGCCCCTTCATTTCTGATCATGTACTTAAGAAAAATGATATACAATCAATGCTTATTGAGCCACAAAATAATATCTTTTTTCTGCCTCCTTTACTAGTAGATCCTCTTTGTTTTTTTATCTGCAATTAAATTTTTTGTATCTTTAAAAATTACCTTTAGGAACTTCTGGCCAAGATGGAGGTGTAGGTAGACACACTGCCTCCTTGCACAACCAAAAGAAGGACAAGAACAAATTTAAAAACAAAAAACAAGCAGAATTGATAGAAAATCAAACTGTATGGAAGCCCATACAGTTTGACAACCAAGGAGTTAAAGAAGAAACATTCATCCAGACTGGTAAGAGGGGCAGAGACAGGCAGCCTGGTGGAGAGGACTCGTAGCAAGGTGACAGCTGGTAGGCTAGGCAAGGCAGTGGCTTTTGGACTGGGCGGTCCCACATTTGCCTGCAGATAAACTGGGAGGAACAACTGGGAAGCAAGATAGACTGAACAACCCAGGGTTCCAGCCCAGGTAAATAAAGCCTCAAACCTCTGATTGAAAACACCGGTGGGGGTTAAGGCGGCAGCAGAAGAAACTCCTAAGCCTCACAGGAGAGTTTGTTGGAGAGACCCACAGGGTCCTAGAATGGACACAAGCCCATCCCACTGGGAATCAGTACCAGAAGGGCCCAATTTGATTGTGGGTAGTGAAGAAAGTGACTGAAAACTACAGAAAGCAGAGCAAGTGTTCCCTCTCAGACCCCTCCCCCACATATAGTGCCACAATGCAGTGATGTGGGTTACCCCACCCC